CAGAATGGCGTAGCCTCTGCATAACCCCGTAGCCTACGCCGTCGATTTGACGCAGAAGTATAAATTGCACTTAACTCTGTGTTGAAATGGACCTAGCCATGGCTTAAACTGACTGTAAACACATTATCAACCAGCTAAGCACTGGCACCCCCGGTACTGGGGGCTGCACGCAATTTTCGCGCAAAATGCAAATGCGTAATCCATGGACGATGCTAGTATTTTTGTCACCCCTATGCATGCTACACACCTGTGAAACTAGGAGGCTCAGCTAGCATCTAAAACCGACCATTTTTATCCACCCCAAACACACATCAAACACCAAGCATCTAAATGAACTTATATCATTACAGAAAGCGCTCTGTAATCACTGTACATTGCTTCATTTAATGCCTTCCACATATCTCTCCTCTCATCCTACACTGCAGTCCGACCACTCTAGAGAAGGATGTGCTGTCATATCGCTCAAATCAAAAACTCTCCCGGTTATTAGCCAGATGATGATAATAACAACAAACGCACCAATATACATGTACACTTAGGAACGCTGACTGACTTTTTTCCGTTTTCGCTGCTTTCAGTCCAAAAACAGCTGTTTTCTGTGTGTATAAAGATTGCCTTTCCTTAGCTTCTGACCTTTCAAAGGAGACCAGAATTATGCATCTAGGTTAAGGAGATATTACTGATTTATTTTGGCTGTTATTTTAGGTGTTTTTCCTAGAAATAGGTGCCAGGGTCCATTTAAAAGAGTTGAAACCTTTTTAAAGTGAATTAAAATATTGAGAACACAGACATAAATACAGGAGATGAGGTCAAGATGGTTCAAGACGAGTATTTAAGGTTCATTCAGGCACTGTAAATAAACGTTTAAAAAATCAACATCTGTAGGAAGTTCATTTTAGCTCTGTGGTGCACAGGGACTTAATGTTGCTTCTCCATGTTTACTTTGTACTCTGAGAACAGTTAGCAGCGCTCTACCTGATGGCCTGAGAGGACGAAAGGGTTCAGATGGTAAAAGACACTGAGAGATGTCTTTCGGTCCTGAGGCGATAGGGGATTTATAGACACAAAGGCGTACTTTAAACTCTATTCTGTCTGTCCCCAGATTGAAAAAGAACTCTTTCTTTCTCCCACCTGTATGAATGGTGAGCGTGAGTTTGCCTCTTGTGAGTTTTGTAGTCTGTCCTCTTCCAGGTTCCATGGCAGAGAGGATTTCGTATGGCTCAGATTGACGACACCTGGCGCTGCATTACCAAGTTTGTCATGATTGTCAATACCATAATTTTATTAAGTTGGTCTATTCTGTACACATGACGTCTATGCGTGTTGGTCCTGGGAGATGGTTCTGTCCTTACATAAATAAAACTGGCTTGACTTAAATTTTAAATAGAAGAGGACCAATGATTGAAACCCCACACCATGCATAATGATCAACTGAGACAAAATAGTTCCCGTCCTGAAGATATGATTTAACCACTTTAACACTAGAAGTCCAGTTTTCCTGTCTGTCCAATAGTTTTGTATGATCAACTTTGTCAAAGGCAGCACTTAGATGTAGATGACTAGAACTGAAATCTTGCCTGAATCAGTTTCTACATAAATGTCATTCAGAACCTTACTGAGAGCTGTCTCAGTATTGTGGTGCGGCCGCAATCCAGATTGATCAAAGAAACCATTTGCGGTTAAAAAGCTACTTCATTGCTGGTCAACAACTCAATAATTTTACTTACAAAGAGACGTTCGATATGTGTCTGTAGTTGGTAATCACAGATGTTTCCACACTACTCTTTTTGAGGAGTTCATTGATGACTGCAGTTTTTAACACATAAGAAAAATGACCTGAGGGCAGAGAGCTATTGACCATCTGCAGGAAATCTTTAGCTGAAAACATTTTTAAAGAGCATGAAGACAGCAGGTGGACAGCTTAACAACAATTTCTTTCAGCAGAATGTGTTTGGTTGTAGTGGAGCCTGACAACGTGGCGGGGCTCAGGGGGTGAGTTTAATGCCAGCATTAACCAGCTCTCCCATTTTGTCAGTAAATCCCGACAGAAGTGCGGGAGGGGAGAGGAGGGAGTGAGGAGGAGGAGGAGGAGGAGGAGGAGGAGGAATTGGAAGAGATGGTTATCAACATGCTGACGTTGAGGCTTTGATGTTTTGTCTTTGGGGTGCAGAGGCTGCTGTGTGTCAGGGTGCGTCATGTTAGGGCTGGACGATGGGTACACACATACACCTACATCACATGTCGTTTGTATGTTCAGATGTACAAGATGAATTTGTTGTTTGAGGTTCTGTCAGTCATCAGCTCAGAGCAGACAGATCTATGCTTCTATTCCTCTTTACCAACATATTAAGGTGCACTGAAGAAAAAGCTTCATCTGATTAACTTCTTTGTGCTTTTCTTATTTACATTCACTGAGCTGCTGCTGATGGGCAGGAAATCTGCCCCATGTGTGAAAAATCACTTTGGGCCTGATTTACTAAATGTTTGCGTGAGTAAAAACGTGTGCAAACTTGATATCACCAGCAAATTAGCACGTAAGCTGATCTACTTTCAAAAGTGCAAGATAGCACCTGATGTTCATTTAGTACTTTTGCCTTAATGAATATGCAATTTGGGCGTTTCACTTTTATTGTGCAAAGTTGTGGGAGGGTAACATGTGATCTACCAAGCCTGAACGCAATATCATGTGAGTGCAACAGCATCTGTATTTAATACGTTTGAAAGGAAGGTGCAAACCGCAGTGTTGCGCAGAGATGGCTGCTGTTATTGTTGCCAGAAGGAGACACAGCTGTAATGAAGAAAACATAGAGAAATTAACAATATTAGATCATATTATTCTATATCCAATGTATTGAAATAGGCCTACAATTATTTTATTAAACCGGGCACGGTCGCTGATTGTTCCCTCTGGCTGGATGAAGCACGATCTGCTGGCCTTTCCTGGCGTCTGGGTCATTCCAGCATGCTGTAGCTGTTTCTGCTGGGGTTTCCCAAAGCAGTTTTTCAGGTGTGCTGTCCCAAGTACTTAGTGCAATCTCAGGCAGGATGGGCAGGTATATACTATTTCATACACGGGACGCACTGAACATAACAAACCAAGCTTTTTATGCAGTGGCTGCTTTCCCTCCCGACTCTCCATGGCGGAAACCATTAAAACACACAAAACCCTCATTTAAATACTCCCACCTCCATTGTGTTTGCTCCTGTTGTCATCTATGCAATAAATCTTAGTAAATCACCCATAACAGGTACTAAAATTGCAATATTTTAGAATGCACACGCAATTTAGTACTCTTTATTCGAGATGTTGGTAAATCGGGCCCTTTTAGCGGGAAACCATTTTTTTGAGGTTTCATACCTGCAGACAGTAAAGTTGATTGGTTAAACAGAATATCATCTCAGCCCTCAGCTTGGTGAGAAAAAAATCAATACCTGTAAGAACACACAGTAGCTCAAATGTTGCCTACAACTGTCATCACCGGCAGT